ACAGCATTTAGCAGTAAGATCTTCCAAACACAGTTTTACCCCCAGTTCTTTTTTCCTAGCCACGATCTGGAAGAGCCTGAGGACGTGGTGTTGTTCGGCTTGATCCAGCTGAGCCGTCAGTGCCACCAGCTCCCTCAGATGGAGGTTTATCGGTTGCGGTTGCTTCTCATACAGAGCAGGCAGGACACGAAGCAGCATTGAGTTCCCTGAGAACAAAGCAAATAAGAGGCCAGTGACTTACTGTCAGTCAATACCCTACAGCTGGAGAGAGTCCTAGAAAATCAGCACGCACCTGGAGACACCAGTTTTTAAGAATCATCAGTACAAAAACAGGGACACATAAAACACACTGTAGAAAAATATATACTGGGCCAAGAAAACAAATAAATAACCTAAATAGAATGAATCATTACAGGTATAACAACATAGGTGTAAAAAAAATCTTATTAATTATAATTTTCATTCTCAAGTACAATATCATGAGAAGGCTGCTTAATGAGCTTTCAGATTTGGATGGCACTCTGTTGAGTCCTAGACCAAACTAAGTGTGATTTAAATTAAACAAAAAAAAAAAAAAAAGAGAAAAGAGAAAACAAAAAAGAAGGCTAGAAAGCACATAAAAGCTATATTTCTCCTTTGTTGAGATTCAGACTTTCAAATTAAATAAGCAGCATATGGAAAGAATAGTTGGTTATTAAGAGAACTAAATATGCATGACAGTAAATTTGAACATAAATAGTTAAGGATGCCGTTTCCAGGAATAGAAAGGAGCCAGAGAGAGTCAACTGCAGACAAAGATATGCAAAACCCTCTCTCACACATTTTCTTAAGATGTCTGTGCATAATTCAGTTTGAAGCCCAGGCTCATACCAAAATACATAACTTTACATAGCTGTACATGCCTGCCTCAATATATTTAAGTTTCACTTGAAGAACATATGGAAAACATCTGCCCATTGCAATGTAGTATGGCTCCTTTTTGTAAACCCTTGAAAGTCCTTAAGGTCTCTTCGGATTTGGTTTCCAATAGGAACTAGCACTCTGGCCTGCTGCTTTTTCTCCCATTTAAATCTGAGCCTTATAATTTTGGAAGATAAGCAGGTCACTTCACTGATGGTAGAAAAAGGATATATGGGTCAGACTGGACCATATCGTGCTTTTGCCAGATACAGAAAATGCACCCCAAGACACTGTTAGGTCTTGCAACATCACCTCTGAGCCAAGTAACTAACGCATAATTCATTGCAGGGTTCAGACAACTTTTGGTTGAACAGCTTGTAATGAGCCCTAAGGGGTCCTTATGCTTCAGAGCAGTGCCTCCACACTATTCAGCCAGCCACACTTCTGCATCCTATCCTGAAGCATTTATTCTGCTTGAAGAATTGTTGGCTTCTCCTTGAAGGCAGCTCTGAGCCCTCCGTACAAACAATGCAGTCCTAAAGGCAAGGTTCAGACCCCACCTCTAGTCCCATAGACATGGCGAATTTCTGTCTTGTTTTGTTCTATATATAAAGCACAAAGGCCAGTTGCAAAGGCAAGATATTTGCCGATTAATTACCCTAAACAGATTAGCAAGCTGTTCAGTTCTGGCCATTTTCTAGCCACATTCTTTGTGCAAATCTCTTCCTGATGTTACAAGGGAGTCTGTAAAAAAAAAAAGTGTCACTTTTTTTTACGAGCGTCACTAACATACCATGGGATTCATGCAAAGCACCAATTCACCCAAAGTTAGAACTAAAATGGTGAGAGGATGTATTTACCTGGACTTTTCTAGACTCAAGTCTGAGTTTGAAATTGAACAATATGGTAACCGAATACACTAAAAATTATTTTCTTCTCTGGATAATTTAGTGTTTACAGGAATAAATCCTTTCTTTGCACTTGCACATGTTCAGTTTCCACTGGAAGATTTCTGCCCATATGGAGCAGAGCCCTTAAGCTCCAGTCGAATTTCAACAATGGTAACAATTGCAAAAGATGAAATTCCCATGTTCCTGGCAAAATTCATCTCAGCTGTAAAAGTGTAGAGGGAAGGAATTCAGCAAAGATAAACCAAAACTAGCAACTTTAACCAAGGAAAGACAGCCACTAACCTGAGACATGCTATTGCCTAAGCTGGGATGTCACAGGTAGGAAGTTATCTGGAAAGTAAGACTAATTATTTAATCTGAGAAAACAAGCATTTTGAGTATCGGATGTATTAGAGGAGTGATGCAATTCAACATGGCACAACATGATGGATTGCAGCCATGAAGCTTCTCCAAACAAAAGTACTTTGTACACATGCAAATTTGGGCAATATCTTCCAGTAATCATACAGCAAACATACTGGGTTTATATTCACTAACCAAGATAGATGAAAAGCAAAGGCAAATTAGAAGCAACCCCATCACTTTGGAGTGATATTTAAATGACCTCACTGACATGGAATTGCTTTTAACTGAATAACCTGTCTATACAAACTTGTAAACAATCCAGGCAGACATCACAGTTTTTGTCTGTTCTTCGTATAACTTAAGGAAGGTCATGAAGCACAACCCAATTCACTATTTACTTGTATTTTCATGGTTCAGAGTTAGCTCTGAGTACCTTTTGCCATTTGTTTGTCACACCTTTTCAGTTTCTAAGGGATTTACGCACATGCAGATCACCAACCTTTCGATTCTCAGAGCTCGGGCCATCAGAGGCGATATTGTGCCCGTTCCCAAGTAATTCACTTTTTTCCATCTTGCTTCATCTGTCTCAGTCTAAACTAAGAGCCTGAAAAGTATGTTTGTTGTCCGAGAATGGAAAAACATTATATTCAACCCCTTAATTACATTCTTTCCCTCTTCCTTCCCCTACCACCCTTACCCCCAATACTTTCCAGATTAGATTTTCTCAGACTTCCCAAGCAGACCACACACTGGGAATTATGCAATTCAGGCAGAAACTAATGTACAGTTGGGGACACCCGATGGCTTTGCACCGCTGGCTGCAAGTCAGGCAGGGAAGAGGCATGTACAGCAGGAGCAACCACAACTGTGTGCTGTGATGGTGCCAGCCCGCCCCGACTGCCCCAGGACCATGCCCCGGGCGCACTTTGGCCATGCTCCCTGCACACAGGAATTGCAAAGGTTGCCTTGTGCTGTCTCTCCTCTGCCCAAACCAGCAGTATAGAGAGCTTGTTAAAAAAAAATGAGCCTGGTAGCACACTGCAAATGTAACATGGACAGAAGGAGCTCTCGAAGCTATACAGCACTGTTTTGACATTCACTCCAAATTGAGTATTCAAAGATAAAAGCCCACGCACCAAGACTCATTTTTTGCCGCGGGATGACTCAAGTTAGACACATACCTCCCAAAAATGTTCACCTCTACTTTACCAAACTTTTCAGGTTTCAAATATATTGCTTCAACATTACTATTTATTATTTGTGTCTGCAGGAGAGGAGCTGGAGGCCCCACAGTGGCAGGAACTCCGTATACACATAGGGTGAACATGTAGGAATGTTCACATAGGTTTGGCATGTAGGAATAGCACAGTACCGTGGCCAGCAGCCCAACACACAAGTAGCCCAGGTTTGCACAAGCAAGGTGGGATACTCGGAGGCATCTGGTATGGCCTGGCAGCAGTACCAGGCTCTCAGCAGCCTTCTGCAGTCCCTGGAGCAGCGGGCTGCCCTGGGGTCCGTAGAGCAAGCCTGGAGGAGCCGGGGAGCAGGCAGTGGGCTGGTGAGCAGGGAGCTCCAGCCTTACCTGCCTCCTCAGCAAAAGGCAACACCTGCAAAGTGCCTCTTGGTCCCCGCTGCAGGAGGGGGCGATGGTTGAGGCCACACACACCGTCTCTGCTGCTTCGCGCAGCTGCACCTCTCACTCGTGGCCTAGGTGTCGGAGACAGAATGAGCAAGAACAGAAGCACAGGGCCCTCTTTACACACTCCTGTGTACAGCGAAAAGGGGCTAAACCGGAGACTCAAATGGAAAGGGAACACAGATTGCAAGTTAGATGCAATTATGTGGGGGTTTTTTGCTATTCTCTGAATATTTCCTAGCCAATATATAATTTGTACCATATTACCCCTAATCTCACCTAAGCAATGCATCTCTGAAATAATTAATGGCCCATTGAACTGATAAGCTTTCCAGAATTTAAAACAGATTAACACTGATAATAATACTTAGCATTAGATTAATGTCTAATCCAAGAGTGCCTTGTTTTGTTTTTTTTTCAAAGTTAACAGAAACAATTCTAATCATGCAGCTGCTAATCTACATGCTCCCAACACAAGATACTAGCAGTAACGTATTATCCACGTAGTTATGGTGTTGTTATTGGTAACTAGGACTAGAAAAGCAAAACTCTAACAAGCTCTCTTTATGAGTTCTCCTTTATTGTTTAAAGCAGTAAACTGTTAGTATATAAGTTTTTATACATAACTATCAAAAAAGCTACAATATTTAGGTTAAACCATGCACGTGGATCCAAACCAGCTCCAGGTATGTTTATTTTGCTACCAATCCCCTCCAGAGCCCTGGCACATACCAACTACAAAATGAGTTTGCAGAGAACACTTTCCTTTCCACAAATAACACAAAATAACATAACTGATGCAGCCAGTGCCTGTAGGCAGCGAACTCCAAGTGATTTCATTCCCCGCTCTCACTCTCGCATTGCTGCACGTTGCAGCACTCTGCTCTCGGAGGGGAAGTGGCAGCTCACAAGAGCAGCTTTCCCCGTTTCTTCCCCTCCGTGAATGAGTCAGTACATCTCCCCCCAGTGCAAACCTGGAAGGCTGGAATTGAGCAAGCTGCACGCCCCCTTCTCCTCTCAGCCAAAATCAACAGTCAGAAGTGCTCTTATTACAACACTGGCACTAGCATTGCTCATTCATTCAAGCTGAGGCGCTCGGAGCGTTTATTAGGGGCTTGCTGCGTCTCACTCGCAGTCTTGTCTCCGCTGAAGTCTGACTTGGACTTTAGGTCCAGACAGCCCAGCTATTTTCAGGAAGCAGCTAGAGAATGCTGCCCCAAGAAATATTTTCTCTGCTTATGCTGTTCTGTGTTTTCAGGGCTTCTCTTTCTGTTCTGGATGAAGATGATGACTATGATCTCATGTATGTGAATCTGGATAATGAAATTGAAGGTCCAGTTCTTGGTACTGAGGAAAGTAAGTAGATTTAAACTAAATTTGTGTTAAGTGCAGAATTGCATTCTTTGTTGCCTAGCCCTTTTAACAGTTATTATTACCAACATTTTTTTTTTTTAAAGGAAGAAGCACGTGCTTGTACCAGTAGATTATTATGGACAGCAAATGCTAAAGCACTTGGATGGTGTGCCTTGGAATTTGCTTTATACTCTATTTTTCTGTTTTCCTGCAAAAGACTGCTGATGACAGTTTTAGAATTGCTATAATACACACTACTTTACTTTTCTGTTTTGATATAGAGGGAAACACGCTGACAGTCTGGAGCATGTAAGCCTTGCACAAAGCCAGATTTTGTCAAATACTCCTTCTGTTTAAAAATGTAAGTACAAAGGAATAGCAACATCTGTATCTTCCATTCCAGCTGTTTCATGTGACTGCCAGCGAGAGCACACCGAGTGGGACAAGCTCTTCATCATGCTCGAGAACTCGCAGATGAAAGAGAACATGATGCTGCAGGCAATGGACGAGATCCTGAAGGTGGACCTGCAGACACTGAAAGCAGAGCTGAGCCAGCTCACCACCAACCTCGCGGGCACCTTCGCTGCCACGATTGAGAAAGTCACCTCCCACATCATGTCACAGGTAGAACAGGCACTTGTGAAGAACAGTGATCAAGCTGAAGAAGCCAAGAAGCTTCATGAGTCTGAGCAAGGAAAGGTTCTCGAGCACGTTCTGCTGCTGAGCCACAACGTGTCCAGCAGGCTAGACCGGCTGGAGAGCGCTTGGCTGAGGAGGTCTGAGGTGGAGGCTCAGGAGACAGCTTTTC